ATTTCTTAAACTCCCTGCCCTACTAAAAATGTTCTATTTTCTGTCTGCCTCTTTCTTCAATAGTTCATTAATTAGCTGTTCAGAGTTTAGGATATGGCTTACAGGGGGAAAAATTGGCAGAGGTTTATGTGTATCTGCCTTACATGGATAAAATAAAACCTCATCCAAAAATTATATTCTTTACTGAAGAACTAATTTTTTTTTCTCACATCCTACCAATGCTAGCAGTGAGGGTGTCCAGACCACTGGGTGTATTTCCCAGAGATAATGCTTCATAACTTGCCTGCTTCCAGCCTATGCACACATTGCTCTTGCAGCCAAGAGGATGCTTTTGCAAATTAAAGATGTATAGTACTTAACACAATCTGACTCAAACAAATGGTAACCTAGTAAGTCAGCTTCTGAAACTGAAGGGTGCGCATCTTTCTTGAAGAACCCACCACTTAATAAATGATTCTTGACGAGTTTTCCAGACTTAGACTACTTTTCACTCAGAAAATCTCTTTTCGGACAGTTGATTCCTAAATTGCTACAGTTCTTACTCTGCAATAACTTTTGCTTCTTCCAGATGTTTATCTTGACCGAGTGTATGCAGGCCTTATTGTATTAAAATAGCATTATAATGCTGTAGCACATCAAAAAAAAATATTTGGTGCTACATGTCTGGACAACAGCGTGAATTTCTCATCGTCTTATGGGCCTGACTTAAGGTTAAAATCTACAGCTTTGTTATTTCAAGTGACTTGTGCATTAGAAATGGAATTAGAGCCAAGATTAGCTATTCAGTTGAGTTTATTTTTGGTAATTCTTCTAATATATAAATGTGATTTGAATTTAAAATCTGGAGCAAAAGTGGGAGGGGTGCTTTTATCTAACATGGCCAGTGCTATGTTAGATGCAAGACCATTACAAATGTTTTCATGGTTATTGGCTGGGTTTTCTGGGTTTTTTTTGTGTGTGTTTAAAGGTATTTCCCCACTGCTTTTGCAGTGCCAGTAATGGTGTAATGCTGACGATGAAGCTGACTTTCCTGATGTTCCTCCCTTTCATTTTTTCTATGTGTATTTAGGAAGGAATTTTCTTCAAGATAACTGTAAAGTAGTCTAAAAAATCTTGAAATCGCCAGTTAATGGCGCAATTAAAGGTAGGATATCCCAGCCTACTTTGAAAAGAAAATGGAATACTTAAAACTTTGAATTTTATGCAAGCTGATCGTGGGAGTATAGGCTTCAGTTCCGCAAATTGCTTCGAGTGGAAAACTTGTAGGTTGGAGTTAACTGTTAGTATATCCTCCTAGTATTATCATATTGTATTCTCTTTTCTTGACAGCGCTATGAGTCTGTGATAAGCAGAACAGTGAGTTCTTAAAGTTTAATCCTGGAGCAGAGAGCTGGGATAATCCAAGTTTTCAGCTGGATCAGACCAAAACAAGCATTGAGCTTCTCTGCCTCTGAAATGTGCTTTGCTGCTAGAACTGCATTTCCTTATATATCGAGGCAGTTGTGTAACGTTTGCAGAGCAGTTATGTTAACCAATTCTGTTACAAGTGATAGACTACGCTGTAAAGAGTTAATCAAAATGAAGGAGGCATTGTCCTCTAATTCAGTATCTCTTCAAGATCTATTCAGCAGCATATGCTGCTATTTTTACAAAATGAATCTGTTGCCAGATTGATACAGAACACATGCTTCGGAGTGAAGCATGAGAACACTAAGCATTACGAAGGTAACTAAGCTCATTAGTGGCAAGGGAGGGCTTTGCTGTATTAACTGTGATGTTGTAATATCTCTGTCTAATTAGCTCTTCTACTAATTAGATTTAGAGCAATTAAAAGCTTTAAAGACTTCTGAGAAGTTTTTTGAAAGGACTGTAAATTTCAGGTACATGACTTTCTCTTTTGGAAGGAGCATCTTGGTGCATGCTCACTGGTGTCAGTGGCTGACTTAGATTAGTTTCCAATTAATTATTGAAGGCTGGACGTAGTCTATCACTGTTATCACTGTCCTAGTACTATATGTGTAACTTCTCTAAAGATCTGGGTGTTCTGCAAAGACTGGCAGCCATTTAGTGTTCAGTTCAGCGGAGCCAGAAACAGAAGACATGCACACGTAGTACTCTCAGGCAGAGAGATTGTGTTTTTTGTCGGTTTAAAATAAACCATTTTGATTGAAAGCATCTGCTTTTTCTTTTGCATAACAAAAATGTTTTCCAAAATTAAAGTCTTCTAAAGCATAAGTCTTTGCAGTCTCCTGCAGAGATTTTTATCCAAAACCCAGCAGTTTAATTTACAAAAATGTGTTGTGCTTAAAACTATCATGAAGTCTTACTCATGAATCTTCAGATTCACGGAGAACCTTTAGCAAATAGTACTGCCTCTCTCTTCCTTAAAGAGCTGTAAAATTCTAACTTTGGATTTCTGTCCTACCTTGAGTATAGATTAAAGCCCGAAATATACAAGGAATTGGTTAAATCAGACTAGCTTTAAGCCTATTGACTGTAGTATCTGTTTAGCAGCTTGGTCATTCTGAAGCTGTAGTGCTATGAGAGTTGAGCTGAGTATCTCTCTGAATGAAGATCCCATCTTTGGGTTTGAATGCTCAGTAACAGAGCTGTCGTTTCTAGTAAGAGATCAAATACTTCTCATGCTTTTTTGAAAAGGGCAGGGGCTCTGATTGTGGGGAGAATGTCGTTGGCTTCGTTAGAAACTGAGCCAGAATTATGTGGTTGGTGTTGTCGATTTATGTGCTTGTCAAGCTAGGGAGATCATAAAGCAGGGTCTTTTAAGAAATGTCATTACTTTAGTAATATGCCTGAAGGGTCCCACTTGGAGAGCACACAGACAGAACATCTCAGTCATCAGCAAGCTGCTGAGAGCATATTTATTCCTGTTGTGTTCAACACCGATGTCTTCTCTTCACTCTCTTTGGAAGAGAGAACATCAGAAACCCATGTGTGGATGGCTTCCCAGCCTGGAGGAGTCCCGCGGCGTGTTTAGGGATTCCAGTGTTCTTGCCTAGAGCTCGCAAAGAGCTGTGGGCTCTTCAGCTGAGCTTAAGCCAACAACTCTGCAGCTTTAGTCCAGGATTGCTATTGATTTACAATGAGCTTTTAGGTAAGGTACCCAGATGTGTGCTGTAGGCAAAATCTGTATGTGATGATGGGAGAAGAGTGAAAAGCTGTCATGGGAGCTGTTACAGCATAGATTGATCAAATGCTTTCAAATAAGATAATATGTCTTTGTGTATTAGCAGCACTTCTATTTCTTATGCCCTACAGTTTCCTACTGAAACATTCAAATGAGGGATCTGATGTGTAGTTTGGACCAGAGTTTTTTCTTAACAACTTATGTTTGTCATAGATAATTTTTTCTCTCACACACATGTAATTACGTGTTAAATGCTCATCACTGCTGAAGGATGCAGCTTCCTCCTAGAAGCTGCTGTTTAAAATTGTTTGACCCGGCTGACGCTCTCTCTCCCAAGTACCAGCTTTCAGTGACTTTTACCTTTGGACTTCCTGTGAAAGATTTGGTGAGCTAAAGGATAACACTCTTGGCACAATTCCTTCCTGTGCGTATAACACTTTACAAAGTTGGTTTAGCAGCATGATGAAGAGAAATAAATATTGTACTTCTTTCCCTTTGCCATCTCTGGAGCGGGGAAGGCTGAGGGGCTGTAGAGAGGGCAGACGTTGCTGAAGGTTGTTCTACAGGCCAGTATTAGAGTAGCGTCTGGATCTCCTAGGTCTAGGGCTAACCAGCTGGGAGGTTGTTTAACTCCGAAAGCATTGGAGGCTTATTTACTTTGATTTTTGTTCATTATGGAAATTACCTCTGTAATAGAGATACAAGCACTCAAGCTGCTGGAATAAAACCACTATTGATGGTTAGCATAAGTGTTCTTCTTTGCCTCAATTTTCTGGAAGGACCCATTGTTAAGATAAGTATTCCTAAGTAAATGTGAATCAGAAAAGAATAGTTAACTGTGCTGTGCACTGAGCTTCTCAGCTTTGAAGTAAGCTTAATAGAAGAAATCCTTAATGACTGTATTCCAGGAATAATTCCTTGGCATTGCAGAACCAAATTTGAGACTTCTGGTTAGAGAGAAGTACTCGATGTCTGCATTGTTACAGGGTATTTTGTCTGCTTGATGTTGCTCAGCAAACCAACTGAAAAAAAAAAAGGCTTCACTTAACTTCTGTGGCTCTTCTGTCTCCACCTTCTGGAAGCTGATAGCAAATAACTTAATATCAGCTTACTGAGTTAATTAACTGGAAAGCAAATGTGTTTCAAGATGTGTGTTTTGACCTTAGTTAAAGGATGTAATCAGGATTTTGTTTCAGTTATTCCAAACCACTGAGTCTAGGGAGCAAATAATTGGGATGAAAATTCTCTTTAAGCAAAACTGTTTTATTTTTATCATCTCTGCGGAATGTGTCAAACTGAAGTCAGCCAGGAGGCTAGCTGGTTTATCTGTATTGCGGGCATACTGCTGTAAAAGAATCGAGTAAAACTGTAATGTTCCAGATGACCTCTTCAATCTATTACCATCCGAATGTTCTTGGCGTATGTTTTCAGAGGTGAAGAACTGTAATTGAGAATTTCTGAGAGGACAGTCTGGTCCACCACAGGTAGTGTGCCGAAGGCCGTGCCTTCAAAGAGAATAAACTGTGCCTTGTATCAGACCTGCAAAAAAAAAAAAGAGACAGCCAGAGGGCAGTACTTAGAAAAGTATGCTCAGGAGTTGTCTTCCTCTCGCTTGTTTTTTGGGTGGTATTTTCTTTGTGCTGTTCCATACCCTGGGCTATTCCCTGGCCAGCAGTATTGTAATGTGGATCAAATTATCATCTTGGTTTGTCAGAGTAATAGGTCAATTGGCTGCAGGCAGAGCCATGAGCTGTGAGTGAAAGCTTTGTAGCCTGTTGTCACGTTGTGGTTTTTCACAGTAGCCCTTAGCTGGGAATTTAAGTCTTCTTCCCTGGCCATTCTTGTCCCTTTTCAGGTTGCAGCTGCTCCCTGGTGGTTGCCTGTGAAGGGAGCCAACTGGAAGCACCCCGAGGGTCCTGACTCTAATATCTCCAACAGGTAAGCCATAAATGGCCGTTCAATTATGACACACCGTGCTTGTGAATATAGCTGTAAACTTGCACCAGGAATGGAGGTGCAAGAAAGAGGTTTTAATTAGTAACCTGCTTGCTGCTGCTTCTGCACCTATTTTCACATCTTCTAGTGTGCTGCATGCAATATTCAGTGGTCATACGGTCGATGGCATAGTAGTATTTCAAAAACGTGTACAAGCACTTTTCACCCAAGGGAAAAGAGACCATACTGAAATGTGCTTCAGTGTGTTTTCTCTTCACATGTATATATCAGCAGTAAAACAGAGTAGATCTTTAGAGGATCGGCAGCTTAAGAGCATTCAGTGCAGATCTGGTTTTGGAGAGGAAGACTAAATACTGGCTGCATGTGTACTCTAGGCATCCATGTAGAGTGTCCTCCATCTGGTATTTGGAGGCCTTTTATCTCTCTGGCAGCAGTTTTGTGCTTTTTAATGTATTCTGACTTTGTAGGCTGATTATTGTGGAAAATCAGTTGTGACTTTGTTATCTAGAAGCTCTAAATGCTTTGGAAAACTGTATTTTTCCTTAGCCTATAGTTAGTGCCATGCTTTGCTAGCATGAACCCTGAAACTTGCTGATCCATGTCTTTGTACCACCTCTTTCAGTTCAGAAGTGGAATGAATTTTATGCCTAGAAAATCAAAAGGCTTCATTATTCTCCGGTGCTTTTTATCGATACTGCAGAATTAGCCCTGGGTTGCACATGTTGAAAGCCATTGTTCAGTTATGTATATTACTGTACCCTTACTTGGATGTGACTGTCTTCATTTGGGACCTCTTATCTTGCAACTCTTTCTCTTGCTCGACAGGTGTCAATGAAGTTGGCACTAGCTGCCTTAATCAACTAGTTAAAGTTTCAAAACTGCTGTTTGAAATAAAGTCAGACCCTCTAGCCTAGATCTAGTCGATGCTGGCATGTTTTTGAGTTCTCTAAGGACACGGCTATGTTAGTGTAACATCATCTGATGGCTGAACTGCTTAGTAACAAGTCCGTTGTCTGTTCTCCAAGGGCAATTGAAAGAATTATCTGAGGCAAAAATAGAGATAATATCAGGAGGCGTTGTTAGGGGGAGACAGAGGAATTTAGGTCACAGTCAGCAGATAAGAGTTGGAAACCTGCCATGTGAATCTAGTCTTGTAGAAGTACGGCACAAACCTAGCCTAGTACGACTGCTAGCACACTTGCCACATGGAAGTAGCCCAATGGACCAACGGGCATATGTTGGCTTGTTAAATGGGGCAGGAAAGACAAGTTAATAGGAAGTCCTCTGTGTCTGTCTTCTGGGCCAGTATCCTCAGCTCTTGAAGTATCTTGGTCTGTTAGAGGCTTGGATGGGGAGGATCCCATGTGACAAGAATGACTAGGCATTGTTTCTGTCTTTTTCTGGAAAAAGAGACTTGGATTGTAGGGGCAATCCTGAAACCAAACCAAAGGAAAGATGGGAGCTTTTGCGTAAACTGCTTGAAACACCCAAAGAAAAATACTTTTGTGTTAAATTCTGCAGTTCACTGTTTCCTGGATTAGGTGCTGCAAAAGATGATGTTGCTAAGAGTAAGGACTCTTCCTCATCCCACCTCTCCCTCAAAAACCCCACAACTGACAGCAAAGAAAGAACCTGCAGCAAAGAGAAGAGTGCACAGGGAAGTGAAGAGCATTCGCCATTAAATTGCAATGTAAATTTTCCTATTGAGACTCTTGGCTTCTTGTTAAGATACTGTTAAACTCGCCTAGCAAGGACTAGTAATGCTGTAGGCTTCTGGTGTCTTCCTTCGGGTCTCTGAGCACCTACGTTTCCACAGAAGCCAGCATATTGATAGTTCTTCACTAGCTCCTGGGTGTGCAGCAGGTTTCTGAGGTGAGACCATGAGAAAGCACAAGCTACGAATGTCTTTGTTAACTGTATAGAGCTGTACATAAAACCATGATCAGACAAACAGAACTTAATTTTCCTCTTCCCTGTTTTTCCTCTGTTGGCTGCATTTCCCACCCAGCATCTACTAGTAGCTTGCTGTCTTTCTTTACTTTTACAGAGGAGAAGCTATTTAATCTGATACCTTGTTGAGTTGTTAACTGACCTGTGAACTTCCTCGCAGTCCTTTGTGGCCATCTCTTAAGAGTTTCATGAAGTGCTTGTGCTGTGTAGCTGTGAGATTGCCTAGTTCTCCTGATGATCTTGTCCTATTTATTTTGTTCCCCAGAATGGATCATCCAGTTCTTCATGTTTCCTGGAATGATGCTGTGGCATTCTGCACGTGGGCAGGGAAACGATTACCAACTGAGGCTGAATGGGAATACAGCTGTCGGGGGGGCCTTGAAAATAGGTACTTGTACAGTTGTGTCCCTGATAAATGTTTAGAACTGATATTTACAAGATAGGGAAGAGTTGTGTGGGGTTTTCTTACCCTCACTGTCTTTTTCTTGTGTCGTATGCACATCTGTGGTAAATGTAACACTGACTTACTCCGAACAGATTCCTTCAGGTAAGTGAATTTCCCTAAATACCTAAATGGTATATTGTAAGCCGAACTCTATAATAGGAGGAGAATGCAGAGAGCCCAAGAGAGGAGGAGGTGTGACAAAATGCCAAGACACAGGACTGCTGCTATTGCAGGAGATGAAAGGTATAGCGAGGGGCATTAGTGCCAAGGCCAAAAGAGTTGCAAAAGAGCTTAAGAAGTAAATAACTACATCACTGCACAGCAACTGTAGGGCCCCTGGAACCACCCGTTACCTGGCTGTGGGCTTGGGGAGGAGGGGAAGACAAGGTGAATAACAGGTTTATGTCTTCTCCATCCTGTGTCCTGGACGACATACTGCGTAGTGTGGTGCAAGCGCTGCCTTTCCCTCCTCCATGTGTGAATTGTCCTCGTAGAACCCTTGCTCTCCTTGAAAACCTGCTAGATGTTGGTACAAAGGGAACTGGAACACAGACAGTTCTCCAGGGTAAGGGGGGAGGAAGGGGTGTGTGTGGTGTGTCTCTTTTTTTTTTTATTTAAAAAAAAAAAAGGCATTTGACAACTGCTCTTCTGTATGCCTTTCAATAGACTTTTCCCATGGGGCAACAAGCTTCAGCCAAAAGGTCAACATTATGCCAATATCTGGCAGGGAGTGTTCCCGACTAATAACACCGCAGAAGATGGATACAGAGGAACTGCGCCTGTAAGTGTGTCTCAAAGTGAATTAATCATGTGGAAATGAACTTAGTCTTCCTAAAACTGAGGTCTGTGTTCAAAACAATGAACTGTGGCTGTTTTCCATTCCTGTACTCTTTCACCTTTAGATTTTTAAAAGTTGCAGTGTACTTCACTGCAGGCTCAAGTATTACCAAGGGACACTTCTTAAAAGCTAATTGAGAAGTAAAGATTACTTTCATTTTAACTTTTAGTTCCTCTCAAACTGACCTTTTCTCCCCCATTCCAGTAAGTTTGTAGTCAGATGCTGAAATACCTTCTGCCTGCACTTTTGGCATTACAATTTTTTGAACTGTCATTTTCTGGGTAGTTGTTCCCAAGGCACAAAAATCATGCAATAGTTTAAAAGAAATGAAACTTCCCTTTTTGGAAAGGTTGAGTCTGTCTAGTATGGCAAACAATGGAACGGAATTTTAAAGGCAATCCAGAATGTGAATGAATTATTAAACGGTAGTTAAAGTAAGTCCAAGAAGTTTCATCAGTAGGGAGTCTGCATATGCATGAGTTGACAGCCACGCTTGCTTTTCTTTAATGGGAAGGGGAATCTGGAAGTTGTAAGCATGGGCATGGTTGTCGGATCACTAATGCTATGTGCTGTGTCTGTTGGTCAGGCAGTGCCTCTCTTTAGAGGATCAGTCTCCAAAACCAATGAGAAGATGCTATGTGCCGTAGTGGAAATGTGGTGCTGGGAACATTGAGGATGATAACAGTTCATTCTTTCATTCTGTTTTATTTAAACGGAGTATGTAAAAGTGTTATAGTTCTGCACTACTAGTTTGGTGTCTGCTTTTGAGATATGAAGGCAGAAGCTCCTAGTAAAGACAAATGCACCTTCAGCAGACTGGTCTTCAGGATTAAAAACCCTATTTCATGTGGAGTGGTTTCCAGAACTGGCACTTGTGTTCCATACCTTGTATAGGTCACTGCATTTCCTCCCAATGGATATGGCTTGTACAACATTGTAGGAAACGCCTGGGAATGGACGTCTGACTGGTGGGCTGTTCATCATTCAACAGAAGAAGTTCACAACCCTGTAAGTATTTTATTGGGATCACATGAAATGTAGAATTCCCTCTTGCTACCCTGATCTGTTTGAAAACCTACTGTTCTCTGCTCTTCTCTGCTGTGTCTGGGGTGGGATGGGCTGTGTTCTGGTGAATTAGGAAGTATCACACCACAGGTCATCAACGCTGGGATTGTAGTGCTGTAGTGCAACTTTTTTTTTTCTTTTATTGGGCAGGCCTCCACAACTGGTTAGCAGCTGAATATTTCCACACTGGCACCATATTACATAGATCAACAATTTGCCAATGCAGTGGAATTACTTAAAAAAAAGTTTTTTTGTTTGTTTTATGTTGCTACAAGCTGTACTACTTCCCCCCCCAGGTAGAAAACAAACCATCGTGAGTTATCTTTATGGCTTTTACTAGCTTGTTTAAAATTCAGCGTGTAATAAAACTGAAGTTTATGGGGAGAAGTAGCTTACCAGGCTTTGAGAGGTTAATCTCTGGGGTTTTTTTGTGGCAGGCAGAGAAAGAGGTCCTGCAGGGTAAGCTTTGTATGTGGGGCTTCTCATGCAGTATCTCTCAGCAGATTCCAGTTCTAGTATTAAATCTCCTTCTCTCTCACTCATCCAGAATGACTAAATCTGAGAAATGTTCTGCTCTGCTCTCACAGAGCTTGTTTTGTTCAGACACAGTTATCTGTAATGAGAAAACCAATTAAACCTCACGGGGCAGGAGCTCTGTTTGCTGCAGGATTTGGGTATCCCCACGCTGTGGTCTCTTATGATATGTGTAGTCTTTCTTTGGTGTGCCGGACATAATTGGAGGCCTTTCTGGGAAGTCAGCAACTGGAAGTAGCTTGAGAAACTTGCTAAACTTTTTTTGCTGTTCTGTACATTGCAGAGGTTGACATTCTGCTGTCCTTCCAGGAAGATGTGTCTAGCAAGAGAAATCAGACTCATCTTGGGGTCTAGATTGCTCTAGATCTGTAGTAGCAGTTCCCTCACACTGATGGAGCATCTGGAGACCTCCTAACCCATACCAATCGCTTCGGCCAATTTCAAGTTACTTGTATCCCAGTAAGATACCACAGGTCTCTCTAGTGACGTCAGCTATGTGTCGGACAGGGCGCTACATACATCTTCCCAAGTAACTGAAATGCTTGGGACTGTAGCTCTTTTTTTTTTCTTGTTTGATTTAAAATAGGATGGACTATTCTCTAATTTTTGTGGGTAGGCAGTCTTAGTGGCCTAGCAATGGCTAAAGAATCTCCTTTTCCTTTGGGACCTTGGCTGTGTTGTATGTCCATCTACTACCTTTCTCACATACTGCACAAATTCAGATGATGTGATTTGAATATTTCACAGTAGTCAAAATTTTCTGCCGGTTTCTGTAATTCAGCAATAATGGAAAGCTGCATTGCATGAATTCTCTCTTGAATGTATAAACACACTTGTCTTTTTCCAACATTGACTTATGGCTTGCATACATATACAGCTGAAATTTATATAGAACGTACACTTAGCATGCCAACTCATTCTTTAGATTTTTTTTTCCTGTTTGCATACTGATTGATTAGGAAAGAAACATCTGCTGTCTTGCAATTCTGGTGGGTGTTTTATATGCGACTAAGGATACTTTTTTTATTTGTACCTTACGAATGGAAACAAGGCCCGTTTTAAGAGTAACATTTCTAAAGATGAAGTGTTGAGTAGCTAGCAGAATGTAAATTTGAATGGAAGTGAAGAAAAATAAAACTAGCAAACTTTCCCACATCAGAGCAGGTGAGTATTGATTTGATTGCAGCCCAATAAGTCGGGGGAGGAGGAGGAGAGTGAGCAAGGCTGAGCTTTCCGTTCCAGACTGTGTGGTCACTTCACCACGCTTTGTACCAGGGAAGCTTCTGCTTTACCCCTCTCACTACTGAAGCTTCACCTCGGTGCCTGGAGCCAGCGCACTGTGATCTGCATATGCCGCCTTAATTAGGGCTGGGGGAAGGACCCCTTGCCCACCTGCACCCTTTCAGAGACAAACAGCATCTGTGTCCCTGGGGAAGGACGCAGGTCTGGCAGTTCGTAGCATATTGTGACTGTCCCTGTTCTTGTTCACCTCTTTCTCAGTCTGGCGGCTACTTCAGTGTTGGCCGCTCGTTTACACAGTGACCCCTCAGGGCAGGAAAAAGTGCACAGCTCTCTAGAAGTCGTCTTGCCTAGCGGGAAGTGGCAACACTGGAAAGCAAAAATACAGTAACTAGGCCGAGTCTGGAGAAGAAAACCACTTCTGATGCTGTGTATTTATAGAACTTAAGTCACAGATCTCGAGTCTATTGCACCTAGATGTGTTCTAGAGTTTTTTAGCTTTTTTGGCTGTAAGGTAAAGTGCATTATTTCTTTAAACAGATACCTCTTAAAGGCTCTGTGTCATCACTGGTGAAGTATTACAGCTTTTTTTCATGTAAGATGACTGGCTTTTGTAGGTGAAAGGCATGAAATAACTAATTTATGTGGAAGTTACTGTGGTAATAATGGAAAGAACCTCCAGGAGTCTTCACCCAAACTGCAGCTTTCAGCTAATCCATTCCCTGCCATTGATGCTAGTTAACTTCATCTTATTTTGGTTTATAAAGAAAAAGATTTCTCTGCCTGTGTCAGCCTTCCCAACTTGCCCAAGCTGCACAAAATCCAGCTAGCTAGAATCGTGTATTTTGCTGAACTATGACTACTGTGGTATGATGCTTGGAAAAAAAAAAAATATCCTTTTTCTGAAGTATTGCAGCAGTGCACCTTCATTAGAATGACTTATTTAAATGAGGCGCGTCTGTGTTTATAGTGTCGATGCAGCAGTGCTTTGGTGTTGAATTAAGGTCATGGTGAGAAGCAAGTGTCGTGTGACTTTTGCTCTCTGTTAAACGTAAGTGGCTATGAGTTTGTTTAGGACTTTAAATTCAGCACAGATGTTTTGCAGACACTTCAGAAGGTTTTTAAAAATTAGGTGTTAACAATGATGCTTTTAGTTTTTTTTTCAGTTGGAAACTGTCAGAATCTACTGTTTGAGGCAGAGCACTTCAAAGTGAATTCCAAAGGGTTTTTCTGATTAAATGGGTAAGGAAACTGAATCTCATAATGTGAAAAGGTGTCCCAAAATAGCCAGGCCGCAGTATCTTCTGAGACATTAAAAATGATTAGCACCATATCTATCAGAGCCAATCCCTTAAGTCTCTCCAGAGTACAAGTCAGCGTAACCTATATATAGGATGTGTTCTTTCTGCCTAAAAGACTAGGAGTTCTTCTAGAGGGTCAGAGCTTAGTGAGAGTTTTTTAACATATTTAGTTTAACATCTGAAATCTTCAAAGCAGTTTTCTAGTACTGGAGAGATTTTGGGTATACTCTGGATTGGTTACAAAGAATGTATGGAATTTTGCACAGATTTTTTATGTAATTGATTGGCTTGCATTCACAAATAATTACCAAGAGCAAAAATAAACTGGCACACCTCAAAGTGCTTTGTAAGTTGTTTGCTACTTTTTAAGGTATTAGATTTAAATTGGGCTCTAACAATGGAACAAACAATGTTATTCCTCTTCTTTGCCAGGTATAGGACCTGTGCGGGTGGGTATTCAAGCCAAATAAACAAACTTGAAAGATTTTTATGCAGCTCAAGAAGAATATGGAATGCAGAGCTTGGTACTGTGTCCTTGAAGTTATAAACTGAAGTGCCGGGAACACTGGACGCTATTAGCAATAATGGGATTTTTGGGGATGCAGCCAGAACTTTTCAAGTTAGTGGCATTGAAAGGCATCATAGTATGTTATGGATGTAACTCTTGAGAGCAGAGCATTAGTGTAACTGGAGATTTGTTTGTACAGACCTTCCTTTAAGAATTTAATTAGACACTCCTACAACTAAAAGTCTTCCCAACTATTCTGGTCCGGACACTTACGTGTATAGTTGCCGTGGCTGGTTCAAAACATAAGGAGCCAAGTGGCTTTTATTTTGAATTCTTCTCATCAGTTTGTGTAGCGAGCTGCAAATGTCTCTGTTCATTTTTGACTTAAGCAAATGAAAGTCTCCCCATCTTACAAGCATACAAGATCAGTGGAGATTAGCGTACTGTACTTAATTAGCTGTGAAAGCAAATAAATGGTATTATATTTGGAGGGGTTTTAAGTAACAAATTGTATATAGTGAATGACCTTGTCATCTGGAACACAGTGAATGGTTTCTCAATTTTGTGTGAGATAAGGGGCTTGTTACTCTCCCAGAAAAAAATGGGAAGCATCCGAGCCAGTAACATTCACTTAGCTCAGCAGCATAGTCCAGTGGAAATCTCATATATCAGGAATCCAGAACAAACCAGAGTAAGCCAAATCTAAAATACCTGCCTGTGGAAAACTTTTACACATGGAAATGGAAATAGCTTCTAAATTTTCTGAACTTCAAGTGGAATAGTGTCTCTCAATTGTGCCCTGTTCTTCTAACTTCCCCTCACCTCTCAGCGTAGTTCTTGTCTATATTCTGTGTTCACTAACCGCTAAAAGCCTTTCACAGAAGAACTTTGTCATGCATTTAGATTTAGGGTGCCAGACTGTTACCTACCATGGCTGTTTTCCAGTACATGTTGTGCATTCTGGGGGTACTTTATTAAGGGATTCTTTACTTGAGTGAGTGTCAGGAGATCAAGGAGCTAGCTGTCTTGCTGCTGTTCTCTGAAATTACTTTGCTTGCGCTTGAAGACATCTTGGAGTTGCACAGAATGGGGCCACACAGCAGTACAAAGACAGTCTTGCAGCGTGTCTTAATCGTGTAGGTGAAGTGGTTTATGTGTGGCCAAACGCAGTTTGGAGGGAATTATAAAATGCACTTGAGAAAATGTAAAATTGATACTTCAACTCCTCCAGTATTGGCAGTGGGTGAAAAACCAGAGCACTGCTGTTTTCAGAAATAAGCGCTTCTGGGCTGATTTTTTTCTCATGAGAAAAATCCACGGTTTAAGACAAACTCACAAAAAATGTTTCTTTAGTACATCTT